CCGATGAAAACAAGTACAACAAGACTGACAAGACTGATTGAGCTCAGTGGCAAAGTTCGTTCAGCAATGAGTCTGGCAGTGGCAGCACTTGAGAAGAAACATCTGCTCCAGATGTCCTGCTGGCCTGCTGGATGTTCGAGAGATAGCTCCGACTGACTGGACGCGCCTGCTGACATGTCAAGAAAAAGCGCAATCCACTGATTGAGGCAGCCTTGTCAGTTTTTCTGGTAGTCTCGACGTCGAGACACTCCCGTGAGACCAAGACGTGACTACACTCCCCTGCAGCTGGCATGACAGTATTGTAGCCAATAAGGATGATGTGATTCGGCATGGAAAGGGCTCGGCGAATGCCCGTGCGAACCGGGCCTATGAACCCCAAGTCGGCGTGCTGAGTGCGGCACTGAAACTCTATTGGTGGCTCCGCTGGACCTGTGTTAGCAGCTAGCAACGAGCTCTGGATGCAGCTCTGGTTCTGCTTTCCAAGCTATCTGACTACCTCAGGGCCTTGGCCGAGCTTGAAGAGGTCGTGAAAGCGGCTGAGCCTCCGGCGCCGGAAAAGCCCGGCCTCCCGGTCGCCACGCTGCCTGTTTTTGTGGGACTTGGCATTTCAGTGCGGGTTCCTAGATAGGAGGCTCTTGCTTGGCATCGGAGGACACACTCACCGATGCACGACCTCGCCTTTCAAAAAGTCTCCAAAAAATGACATACCGAGCAGTACCGAGTGATGCTGTCCCAAATATGGCCGGAGTGCGTCCATTGCTGCTGGCCTTGGTGCAACGGTGCCCCCACTGCATACTTCAGTGATGCGATGCCCATTCGAACCATTCGAACGCAGGTTTCAAACCGCCGCGAGTTTGGGGGTTTTCGAAGTAATTACAACCCCAAGTCAAGTGGCCCAGGGCAAATGACGATGGACTGTGGCAGCTGCAGGAATCGGCTAAGACTGCATTTTAACCGGGTTTGCGGGTTCATCGATCAAGTGAGCTTCGTGATAGGACCTCGCCCCTCGGCTCGACACTAAAGGTCTAGTACACCCTGAGATCCCAATACGGCCGGAATCGGATGGTCCGGGCAAACAGTTCCAAACAGGTTTAAACCTGGGGCACGCACCGTAGGCTTTGAGCCGTCGCGGCACACCCGGCCTTGGTCAGTCGCACAAGAGAAGCGTATAATGTAGATATGTGGTCAAGCTGTCTGACAATGTCCGAACCTGATCCAGCGTAAAATTAAAAAGAACGGCGCACACGCACACCTGAATGCTTGCTGCGAACCGCGAACCCAAAATAGGCTATGGTCAGAACCCCAGGCATCACAACCATCCAGAGCCGAAAATCCTCTGAACCTTGCAGCCCTGACTTTTGAAGCCCACTACATACACGCACTCCGACAACCCTCAGCAACCCTCGAAAACCGACTGGGAGAACCAATCAACGGAAAAGCAATCCTAATCCCTGAATCCTTACTTTCGCTGCCCCGAAAGCCGCCTCAACACTCTCTACCAGTATCTGCATATGCCCTAAATATCCCTAAATCCTTAAGCAAGAAGCATGGGACGGAAAGTCGATGAAATCGAGAATCGAGAAGGCCACAAATATCGAAAACCCTGTTCTCCAGCAGACACTGCATACCCGAATCCTGAGCTTTTGTTCCGCATGGGCCCCAAAGCGTCAAAACCAACACAAGACAAAACTGCAAACCCTCGCTCACAGCGTCCCCTAATCAAAGCCAGCCTGAACCATTGTCTTCTGTTTGTTTGCTGTTTGCTGCAGAGACCTCATTCATCCTCAATAAGCCCTCTAGGCTCCTGAAATCCTGAAACCGCTTGGGCCACCTGATCCCTGGACCCTTTGAGCTCTCTCCCCAAACCCGAACCCTACACTACCCTAAACCTCTACCCTAAAGCCCTAAACCTCCCTGGCGGGAGCTCTGAAGCTTCGGGGCCGTCGCGGCCGATTTCTGAGCTCGGCTTCCAAACCCCGAGCCAGGTCAACCTGAGACCCGTGCCGTCTTGAAAAAGGGATTCCTTGAAGCTTAGCTTCAAAAGGGATTCTTGTAACATCTTTTGACTTAGTTCAGTTAAAGGGTTTTCGGTTAGTTCAATGGGCTTTCGCAAATTAAGCTGGTCCAAGTCTTTAGATGGAAGAGTATCTCGATTCTTAGTTAAGCTGGTCCAAGTCTTTGGATGGAAGAGTATGTCGATGTGAACGTATATCTAGAAAGTGAGCGTGGACCAACCAACGGTGGGCTTGAAAGATCAAAAGGTGTCGTTTTGGGCTCAAGATCCAGCTTCTCTGTCGGAAAGGTGTTGTGGTCAAGCTTTGGGACGTTTCGGCAGACTCCGTCGAGTCAGACCCAGTTTTGAACTGCAGAGCTTCGGAAGCCTTGGCACCCCTTGTGATGTAGCTCTATTTGCTGAAGGGTTCAGGTGAGGATAGGTTTCGCCTGTCGAAACCTTGCCCAAGTCTTGGACTTGTGATGTGCCACTATGGCATGTAGATGCAAGTTCGGTGCAAGGTTTTTGCCCACTGTCCCTGACCAGAAGTCTCGACATCCGCAGCCTCCAAGGACTCTCAGGACCGCATCGCACCAGCAAAGAAGCATCCCTGAGTCAAAGGCCCCTTCCAAGAGCCCAAAGTTGAAATTCGTGCATCATCTCATCACTAAGGAGTGTCTCGATTTCGGTGAAAGCAGCGAGTCAGTTAGCACCGCGACTCGGAACATTATCTCGTTCATCCATGCCTATCCATCCATACATACACAGAGCCCCACCAAGGCCCTAGTGCAAGCCCTTCCATACACCCTTCTGAAACCTTTGCAAACCCTTCTAAAGCTCCTTCCGACCAGCTTCTCCCACATATAAGTGGCATTGAGGACTACTGAGCCGGCATACTCGTGGGATTCGGATATTTACTTTAGGCGGCACCGACAAAGCACGCTTACGGAACTTGCAACACCCGGCGGCTTGTTCACTCGAGACCAGCACGAAGCCAACCAATGTATTGGAATCTACAATGGATCGCGCCTACCACAGGTCGCGCATCCGACAAGGTTGTCAATACCGGACATGAGTTGGATCGTTGCGTCTTTGAGGCACCCCAGGCTCAGCACCATTTCGCACGACCGAGCATGCGATCCGAGCACGAATCCTAAAACATGCCAACCACCCCCTGTTCTTCTGGCTCTAAGGACCCGGCCGTCGCCCGATCCAGCTTGGGCCGAGGCCTTGAACAACCGCTCCTACGATGCTGAATCAGGTCTCCTCATACAGCTGTACAACACCCTGCCTCAGAAGGCTGAGCCTATAAAGACCCGCGTCGATCGATGGCGAAGACCCCAAAGTCCCCAGCTTCGTTGCTGGCAGCATCGGTGTGACAGCGTGTTGCTGAATTTGGCGTTTCTGATTGCTCTCCACTAGCTCTCCACAAATCCTCATGGCTTATATGCGATGGTTAGTAGTTATTTTTGGTGCCGTGAAGGTGCCGCAAAGGACCGGGCATTGTACTGCATATACTCGGCTGTGCTCCTTCACTCATGTGGAAGGCACTGCGGTGAGAGACCTGCTTTGTGCCACACTGATCCCGGAACAGCGCTGTCAAGACTGGGAACTGCTGCAACCCAGACTACGAAAGGATTGTTGTGCCGGTTTCGGCTGTTCTGTCAGCCCAGCAGAAACAACTTGACTGCAGAAAGCCAAGATTCAGGCAGCGGAGGAAGCCTGTCGACATTCAAGGCTTGGCAGGGAGACACCGCCAACATTTCTTGGCAAATATGTGATAACACTTGGGTTCCCGTTGGGGAAAAAAAAGGCCACAACTGTACTTCGTCGGGTCAACGCGTGCAGGTTGCGACCATCTCTGGTTCCGCGGTTGAACTCTCAAAACCCAGAATCGATGTGGGCAGCCGGGATGCAAGCATTTGGTGTCTACGTCTAATTTGGTACAACCAATCCACGTGTTCGAGGCGATGCCGGCATAAAAGCATGTGCACTGCAGCATCTGCAGCCCCCTCGTCAAAACATCCCAACCCAACCGTAGGGACATCGAGCCGAAGCGACTGAGCACCACACGAGGTTGGCCGTGTGGAGGTGGCCACCTGGAGCATAGCTATATAGGTCGGGACACTGTTTTTCATGCGCATAGGACGTGTGTGGACTGCCGGCAGTCGCGGAAGCGTTGGCTTATGGGCGAATGTGAGTGCCCGACGGCTGGTTGCCAACAGCCGTCCATCGCCATGACGGACAAGCAGCTGGCTCAAAGACTCAGCGCTCTCATGTTGTGAAGCACGGGGACACAGCAGTCTCTGATGCTGCTGCCGCATGAGGCACTTTTCCAGAAATGGAACTGAATGGGTTCTTGTGCAGTTTCCTAAAGGATCCTATGCTTTCTGGGTTGCATTACACAGCCTTGATCCAGAATACAACGGCTTTCCTCTCGACTTGCAACCTCGCGAGGCAGCCTGACCCAATCCAACTCTTTGAGCGTGGCTCATGTTCGTGCAGAGAGACGTGGCAAGAAAGAGCCTCTCTCACTTTTCCTTATCTATAACGCACCGTAGCAGCTTGCGGTGACTGAAACTACGGGATGCAATCGACAACAGGAGCTTCCCGCTAGGAAAGAGATAGCATGGAGGGACTGCTCCATGTTGAGCCTAGGTAGAACCAAGTCATCAGAATATCTGTCAGCATGGTACATAAATTGGAAAACAGATTCGTATACCGCCCCGGACAAAACCAAAGACGTGAGGTTCACGGTCTGGCACACCAGAAAGCTGTGAAGGAACTGTCAGCTCTCTAGGGGCTTACGCTGAAGACACCCCAAAAACCTCAGCTACAAACAGCTGTAGCTGCCGACTGTATAATGACGTAACTAACCCTCGGATCTTTTGACAAGATTACTGGACTACGTCATGTACAGAGCAACCTGAGGTTACTGCCTAGACTTTGGTAGACGTGGTGTCAGCCTGCGCGAATTCCGCACAAGCTCTTTGCTTCTTCAAACATCTCAGGGCGACGGCGGTGGCCCTGACGTTCGGTATGCTCCGTTGTCCGTGATAGGAGGGTCTTTCGTAGTGATCGAAACCGAAACCTGTCTCTGTGTGCGTGCGTGTCGGACACGATTTTCCTTCGCTGCCAGCATGGAGTGCAAGATTTTGTAAGTCAATTCTTCTATTGTGCACAAACACGGACAACAGCATGCAAATACATCAATAATATGTGTGCATGTATGTATACATACGTTTTCACCATGTCATGCGCATACACCATGTACATATGTAATTGTGTGTCTGTATCCATATACACAAATTACATGTTTATGCATATGTTCGTATGTATATGTTCGTTTTTATGCGCATTCACATCCATGCACACTCAACAGTTATGATTATGAAAATTACAGCTTGAGATTTAGATTCTTTTGTGCAGCGCTTGGTTTTGCTTACGATAGTCTGAAGGAATGCAAGGATTTCCATGAAAGGGCTTAAAGTGGAGATTCCGCAAGAATGCGCAGGTTCAGGACACAGGCACAGGCATATCTCTTTACACAAGACAAGACAAACTGCCAGTAGCGAGGAGTTCTGGCACTAAGTTCCCTACTAAATGCCAATTTCCCGAACATGTGCAAAAAGGAATTACACCTGCCATGCTTGACACTGCGCCTGTCCCGGTGAGTGCGTAGAGGACCTGGTTGATGGCATATGGTGCCTGGCAACCACAGGACAGATCGAGCATGTGATGAAGCTTCACAAGAGGCACGAAGAGGCTCTACTCACAAGACACACAAGCAAGAAGCCAAACACAAACCAGCATGGATGCACATCAGGGCTGAGCTCTTCGAGTCCACAAGCTCCGGGCGGCTTCCTTGCGAATCATGATCTGCCTCTGTCTGCAGCTGGGCTCCTGACAAATTGGAAAATCAAGATGAAGCCGCCAATCCTCGGACGGACGGAAACACGGCGAGGGTATCACAACTAAGTTGAGCCGTCTATATTTCATTTAACTCAGAAAGGACAATCAGGACAAGATATGTGTTCATCACTGCGGCCGTCATCATCGTCGTCGCCACCACTGTCGGCAGTATCACCATCACCATCATCAGGTTCATGCTTGCTGATTACAGCCTGATGCGCATTGCTAGCGCATTGCCATCTCCAAATGCCACTACCACGACGGCAAGCATATCCGTAATATGTCATAATTATGGTGCTTGCTTTGCCTTTGTGCCTGCTGCCGTCCTGAGTCACTACTCTTATCACGACTATGCAATCGGCACCTGGTCATGCGGATTCATACATTGACATGGTGTAGCAATCAAACAGATGACATGCCACTGTGAATACCAGCAAGAACCAGACTTGTCAACAGCACTGAATTATACAAGTGCTCCGGCTAGGATCGTTGGGAGCCAGTGCAGCAACAGTGCACGGCCTCCGAGCCTGCTAGCCAGGCTCGATACAAACCAAGCGGTTTCTCTGAGCTCTTGAGACAGGGAGATAGGTGTCAAGACCCGAATCTAGATCCTGGGGATCTTCAAAAAGAAACCCTTCATCCTGAGCGACTCCAGGACTTGAGGACATCGGGGGATGCAACGACGGGCCTCTGTGACCTGAGGCTGCTGCAGCGTCGCAGCTTGGAAGACCGCGATGAATACGCCCTTCTCGTAGAAAGCCTGGAGAGAGGAGACGGGATGATGATCCTACTTGGTCGCACTTTGTCATCTTCCCATGCCCAGACTTCAGCCCTGCTGCCTGATCCTCAAAATTTGAACCTGCAAGCTTGCCATGCACTCCACGCCACGCGGAAATTGTAGTTCAGCATGTGATTATGGCGAGAACCTCAATATTTACAATACAAGCACAGGTGATATTATGACGTGACATGATGGCCCAGGGATGAACACATAAACTCTATGAGAGGGAGCCCGCTTGTGCTTGCCCACATGTGTGCTGTTTATACATGCGACCAACACACATGCCGAAGTCTGTCTTACACAAAGCCCAGTTCCTACATCTTTGCAGCGTGGCAAATCCTTTCGAGAATTCTCAAATTCCAGGCCCTGTCAAGCCCCCAGACGCTCGTGAAAGCTCCCAGACCAGAGCTTTTGCGACAGCCAACTGCGCCGCAGAAATTGGCTGCTGCAGTATGCTACCAAGATCCACTTTTTCCCAATGCCTCCCAGAACTCGGGAGGAAGGAAACCCGGTCGAGGGAGGCTCGAGAGCTTGATGTCCTCCGATTCTCGGGCTTGCTTACACTCTCCCATACCGGGTCTCGGTTCTCGGGCTTTTTTTGGCCATGCCCAGCTGAACAAAGTCGCACCGCAAGGAAGTCGTCGGAACTCAACTGAAGAGGATCCCAAGAATGACATGGACTCAGAACGGACAAGCCCAGCAGCAGTTAGCATCAGGGGGTTTGAGGTTCTTGAACTGAAATTGAAAAGCTGCCAGGGATCGAAGTTGGAAGACTACGAAGCTGAATACACAGTGGCTGCACGGATGAATGAGTTTAGGGAGCAGATGGATGACAACAAGAACTTGTCATCTAACCTGCCGTAGCAAGTGTGATGCAAGTTTCCAAAGAACCCCCAAACAAATCTGATTATCTGTGGGCTGTGTTACAAGGCCCTATCCAATATCCCATGGACCCAACTGGGAGTTCGAGACACTGGGACATTCCAACACAGGTACCAAGGTATCACGTCTCGTATTGGAAAGATCCCCGCGGTCTGGTCCTCATCGGACTCCGTGAAGAACCACTCGAATTTGCGCCCCTTCCATTTCTCGTCGTTGGGATCCTGCTTTGAGCGTAAAGTTTGGGCTTCTCATACTCCTGTTGCTTTCGGGTCTCGGAAATACAGCCATGGCAGGAGACTGCGCAGAACCATGCTGGCTACCCTCTCCTGCTTCCACGCATCCGAGCTGTCACCTGATATAAGTACTATTTGGAAGCAGCACACGGCTAACCTCTCCCCGTCTCTTCCTATTGCATTCTGACGGTGTCACCGCATGAAGCCTCCTTGTAGCTGCTGTTCTGAACGACGGTCACACATGGGGGCTTAATCGTCACAATTACTGACATTATTCTTGTCCTTACGTATATCGAAAACAAACCCTCTTGACCTGACAGCATGCCAGTGTGACTCCGGCTGCACAGATGGAGCTCTGAGGCCAGGACCACTTCGCCCTTGCCCGGGATTGCCGCCCTGGGTTTCAGACGGAGTCAGGCTGGAAGACCGAAGGACAGTGACAGGCCGCCATGCCTACAACACGACTGCACGACCATCGACATGGCTTTTTACCCTGACATCGTTCCCCCGCATGTTTTGCTTACAGTGCTTTGACGAAGTTCGTGTTGGGGACTTACGTCGTGGCAGTTACTAAGCCACAGAAACACAAGCCTGAGCACTCAGCTGCTGTCAGCGACCCAGAACCTGCGAGGCCGAGCTGCCAAGAAAGCCAGGCTGGAGAGGGCCACGGACAGCAAGAAGCCTCGGCTCTCCCAGAAGGAGAATTGCCAGCGTTCCGCAGGGCCAGGCTGGGGTTTCCGTCGTCATGAAATTAATTGTATGGGGTCACTGAGTTGATGCGAAGTTGCAGCGTTGGCAGGCGTTCGTGATTGTCACTCGGGTCCTGGAATACCAGGCAAGACAAGGCGAACTCCACAACTGTCCAGGCTCACCCGTGCTTTGTTTTCACGTGCGCTTCTTGCTGCGCGTCCCTTAATGGCTTCGCCATGCCAATCAACACAGCGCTTTGTCATGTGCTGCCCCTCAATGTCTTTGGAGGCACAAGAATTCATGCAGCACTGACGAGCAGCTGGCGTAGCATACCCGCGCAAAGGTCCGCTCAAGGCCACAAGGCTCAACTGGCATTTCTCCGCAGATGTGTCTGACGGTTTTGTTTTGATTATGATGATCTGGAAGATTTGAAATGACTTGGACCATCTTGAGTCCTGAATATCTACAGAGTAGTCTACATCTTTGAACACCCAATCGACGACCCCAAGGTTCAGTCCGGTGAGCAGTTGTGGCTACAGTACGCCACGGACAGCATGGAACCCCGGTGGCAGGGACCTTCATTTCACGGATTTGCCCGCCCTCGCGTATCGAGGCCGGCCAAGAAGTTCCATGACTCTGCCAAGTTCTCTAAACCGAAGACTTCGTGAATTGCATCATATATAGCTTGAGACAGCAGTCGTATGGTTTGCGCACAATAACGTTAATGATCCTTTTTCATGCTGAGATTTCGATCCCTGAATTGAAAGATTGCAGGCCATACAGGACAGCTAGCGATATCGGTCTCTGTATCTTTGTGTTAAACATCTCCTACCCTCCTTGTAAGCCAGTCTTCCGATGTAGCTTCTAAGCTTGAAGCTGCTTCCGGACTCCCTGCGGCCCGAAACCTCTCAGAACCAGCCCTGCAACATCCGCACCAAGAACACCGGCGACGGCCGAATTAGAAGGCTTCGTGGGATTGCAACGCCTGAATCTCGCGCCATGCTGACCTCGGCTAAGAACTGCTGCCAGACTCGAGCAGTCCGTGAACCTTTCCTTGGGGTAAGTATCGTAGTCGTAGTCATCCATACAGCAGCAATCAGGCTGATCTTTGTGTCCGTGTGAAGAGATGACATGTACTCAGTACTCCCTGTATACACTCACCAACATGTCACCAACATACTGCCACTTGTACCAGTATTGACCCAAAAACCTCACTAAACAATGACCATAAAGTTTCCCATAATCCCCTCGTTAAGCCCGTAAAGGTGTGAAAACCCCACCCAAAAAAAATCTGTGTTTGGGTATTTTTCCTTCCCGAGCCAGTGCTTGTTGGTGCTCATGGCTTTCCAAAATCTGCCTCCGAGATGCCCGAATCTGACCATGACTGGCTCCATCCTGCGAAGACTGAAGAACTGTCGGGGCTGTCAGGGTTTTGGGAGTTGCCTGGAGACAGGGGGGTCGTCGGAGAACAGTAAATGGTGATATATTGAATCTGGAACTCCTGTACAAGTTGTAACTCAGAACTGCTTCACATGCATCCTCCTGTTGCCGAACAAACTAGAGGCTAGAACATGCTCATGATGGCTACCACGGCGCTGCTACGGTACAGCCCCCTCTGCCGCTACGATTGTGACAGGCTTTATGCCATGGCTTGCATGATACCATAAGATCGATCATGTTCGCGCATGTTCATGATGACCCTCGGTCTTGTCATGACTGCTGCAGAGACCTCTTGGCTTTGCCCCCCCCACGTCATTCCACTGCAACCTAGGCACGAAATCGATAAGCTGGACTGAGGCACCGAGGTCGGCGGAGCAGCGGGAAGAGTCCGGGAACGGGCCCGGCGTGGATCGAAACCCCCGCTGAGCGCCCAGTCCTGCAGCTGCTCCGATCCCCAAGTCATCCTACGGGTATCTCAGATATGGATATCGCCATCCCTTCAGACAAGCTCGTTCGACGGCGTTGGGCAGAGCATCCGTCAAGAAACCGGCAACATGTCAACATCTCAAAGACAAACCGTGCAGACCGGTCTCCTCATCCCCATCGCTGGAGCTGCCGCTTGAACGGCTATCCCTTTCGAAGTCCATGTCCTGGATTGAACTTAGAAACCCGCCCACCAGTTGTCAAAGGCAAGAACTGCTTGCGTGCCACGGCTTGCAAGCTCCATTTCGCTTTCGATTCTGCTGCTCGGAGCACATGGGAGTGCTCGCCGAAAGGACCACAAGCAGCTGGAGGAAGAGTAGTTCAAGGTGGCAGCTGCACTTTCAGCAACAGTAGTCGTCGCAGCAGTGAGAGGAGCAGTTGCAAAGTGGCAGACTGTAGTAGTCGTCGTCGTTTTAGTCGTCGTAGGACCGCTATCATAGTACGTAATGGAAAGCAGCCTTATCGAGTCGGCTGTGGTAGCAACGCTCAGAGACAGGAAGAATAACACTTGTGAGAAGCAATCTGAACTCAACCATGACAGCAGTGGCCTCAGCAATGACTGTTAGTTGTGCCCGCGCGGGCAGTGGCGACTGGATATGGTCAGAAAATGCCTAAACTGCCAACACTAACAGAGCAACGGTCTAGTAGTAGTAGTAGTAGTAGTAGTAGTAGTAGTAGTACTACTACTACTACTACTACTACTACTACTACTACTAGTTTTGGCTTCCACTTATCAGCGTCCGTCGGACCCCGCTCTGCAGGTACTGAGTAGACTACGGGCGACGAAGCACTACTTTCCGTGCACTTGTACCCAAAACCGCCACTACCGAGAAGCGTATAAGCGATGCCAAAACCAACTTCAATAGAAGGGCGAAGGACCAATACCACTAAACCGTAAAAAGAACACGCCAAACTACACGGAAAGCTTAGCTTCTTGTTCTACAAGCTGTTCACCTGCTTCAGCTGCGTGTGGACTTCGACAAGGTGACTTCAGTACAGACTACAACACCAGCTAGCTGTTGCAAGGAACTCGGCAAGGCACAGTGCAAAAAACAGTGCAACAGTGCTGTTATGGCCTGGTGTGGGTGAATGCAAGGTCCAATGCTACCCACTCTGTACAAGCCTCTCAGCTGCTGAGATTTTTGTGCTCTTATCTGCTCATGACGGTGCCTTTCTCTCACGAGTAGTAGTAGTAGTAGTCGTCGTCGTAGTAGTAGTCGTAGTAGTAGTGGTAGTAGTAGTCGTCGTCGTAGTAGTAGTAGTAGTAGTTGTTGTTGTTGTTGTAGCGTTCGTCGTCGTCATCGAAGTGGGAGTAATACTGTAGCAAAATGAAGCAAACAATCAGACGCAGCGGACCCAGCGGTCAGACTTACTTTTTACCAGTCCAGGAGCCCATGCATGTGCGCGCCAAAGGCGCTTAAGCGCCTTTGGGGAGTAATAGTCGCAGCAGTCGCCGTAGTAAGTAGCAGTGGCAGAAGCAGCAGGGGTAATAGGTGGTAGCAGCAGCAGCAGCAGAATGGCAGTGCAAGTAGGGGCAGCAGCAGTAGCAAGTAGCAGTCGCAGTGGCAGTGGCAAGGGCAGCGGCAGCGGCGTCCTGCGGGGAACGGCTTCTTGAATGATTTGAGTGGCTGCGGTGTCTTCGACAAGCACCTCGGATGTAGACTGCTCTTCGGTGTAGTGTAGTGCGCACTTTTCAGGGTTTGTGGCCATGGCTAACTATCCAACAAACGAGATAGCTTCATGTCTCAAGTGCATGAAGCTAGCAAGAAGCCGACAAGCTGACCAGCTGTTGAGATCTCATGAGCTAAGCCACCCTCAGGCTGCAGGTAGCGAACCGGCAAATCTGAAACCCCATCCATAGGAGTGCAACCTGCAAAATCCAAGGACACCAAAGCAATGATTGCAGGCCAGATTCCCAACAGGATGGATCGACGCTTGGCTGAGCACGCCTCCTCCAAGAAGACTTTGGTGGCCTGCGGTCACGCAAAAGGATATGCCAGTCTTCTATTTCTTCAACAGCAACAGCAAAAAGGCAGCAACCACAACAACAGCAACTTTAGCATTAGCATTAGTATGACCAACTACAAAACGAAGATATACATATATATATATATACACATAATATATGTACGATACCATTACAAATGAAACTGAGACTTCTAGTAATAGTAACAGCAGCAGCAGCAACAACAACAACAGCAGCAGCAACAGCAACAGCAATAGCAGAACACCCACAACCACGACAACCACCATCGTGAAATTTAAAGCATCTGCGGTCGAGCCGGATCTGACGTTGCTCATTCGGTGCCTTTAGACCTCGGAGGGGTCTAAGCCACTCTGGGATTCAACGGCCTTTGCTGGGCGAGATTTCTGGAAACTTGGTCGAGCCTGTAGTTGGGCCCTTGTTGTGCTTGCAGAGTGTTCTGTGCACAAGCCTACATCATCTTCTGCGCACCCTCAACCTGTACCCTAGGTCACCAAGCCTTCAAATGATGATGCAAAGGCTCATCCTCGGAAGCCACCACAAATCCGATGCCTCGGGTGTGATTCCAAATCGGTGTTTGTCAAGATTCGGATTCGTTCTGGCATGTGCAGGAAAGGCAAATAAATCAAACGAGTGCTTCAGTCCAGGATTCTGCAAATGGGCAAAGCGCATACATCGAGTGCACACTCGGACAGGAGAAACTATGGAACCTGCATGCTGCGATGAGTGGGCTGCACCTCTCTCTGCGAACCTCTCGCCAGGGGAATTGCGTTGGGCTGCTCAGGCGCCAAAACTATGGAACACAATCGTGAAGTAGAACTTTTTGGGATGAGAAACGGTGGCGGTGGTGCTGGTGGTGCTAATGGTGGTAACTGAAGATAGCAGCCACGGCACGTCGAATCGATTGCCGAAGCGAGCGCTCGATCGGTGACCAATCATTGGCCCACTCCGGGTAGAGCCTGGGCGGTGAGTCTGATCTGAGCGCTTGCTCATTGTTCCTGTCAGGATCTCTATATATATATATATATATATATATATATGTATATGTATATGTACATAAAGGCTTCCAAATCGCAGGCCACCGTGCTGCCAGGTCAAGCTCAGAACCCTGCCAAGCTGCTTTATTGCCACACGCCTAGGCGCCTAGTGCAAAGCTGGACTTCGGCTGCAAAGCTAGTACTGCGACTCAGACCATCTGCAACCTATGTAGGGTAATCTTCTAAAGATTCTGAGATGGAGGAGTCCTATCGTAAAAAGATGTACAACATGATACACCATAAAGCAATGTGCTGTACACCGAGAGGTGTCTGAAAACCGCACACGAGGTTTGCAACAACAGATTCGAGCTCGGGCTTCTTCTTGACTTCAACTCCGAGCCTTCTGCCTGACATGTGCTCAGGTAGGCCTCAGCCTTGACAATTCGCAAGCTCCAAAGTCTCCTGATAGCCTGGCCTGGTCAAAGCTCCGAGAATAAGTCATCCAGCCTTAACATGCCCACAAACTGTGAACCTGACAAGCCGGGTGCCGTGCACCCTGGCGTGGTCGAACTTTTCGATTGCATCCTGCATTCTTGCAAGCTCTGCGCTCGGCCACGGCCTTGATGCTAAAACGCGTAAGCCCGCTCAGTGCCATACGTCAATCCCCGACTTCAAAATGACCTGAAGGCCCGACGCATGAAGCATGAGACTTGTAAAGCCGCAAGCCAAAAAGCATTGCAACTGGCGACGAGACGACGAAGCCAGCAGCAGGCAACGTCGTCGTCGTCATCAGCGTCGTCGTGCAGCATCGTCGTCGTCTTACATGTACGGACATAACCGGATTGCGTAGCACTAGCATGGGTAGCAGCCTAGGGATGATTGAGGATGATTGGGCTACCACAGGAATTATCATGCGCAGTTGACGCGCTTGACAACCAACCGTGCTGGTCGGTTCGTGCGTGGCTAAACCAAAGCTCGCCGCTGCTCAATTTCCAGTCCTCGGCCACCTTGCGAAGCTGTCCTCAAGAACGGCATCAGTGCTTCTTCGGCTTGTACTGCTCGGGAATCCGGGAAGCCACTGAAACATGCATGACCAGATGACACAAACGGTTGGCATCACACTGTAGCCGTGTAAACCAATCCCATCGAATAGCTCCAAAGTTGCAACAGCTATGCGTCCCTTCGCACCAGACTTACCTCTTCAGCTCTTTCTGTGTGTGTTCAATCAAAGCATTCATCTCATGTGCCGTCCTTTCGCTGAGGGAACTATGGTCCCTCACAATGACAACCCTGCTCCAATTCGGCCCGGTGACGGGCCGAGATCAAATCTTGTGAAATGTCGTGAAGCTTGAGAGCCGCGTCAGGATAGCCTGGCGCACGACGGAAAGGCTGTAGAGTAACGATGCAGTAAAGACAGTGGACAATACTTCGGGGCGCAGTGATGCCAGGCTCAATCAGAACAACTGCGTGATGAAGTCATGCTGATCTTGACGTTCTTTCAAAGAGCTGCAGATGCGCTGCTTTGTCCCGAATTCCCGATCCCACTCGAACAATGGTGCCACGTAAGCCGTTCCGTGCAAGCGCATCCGCGACCACGACAAGCTAAAGAGTGGAGAAACCGACCAATTCCCAATAGCAGCTAATTGATGGGCGAGCGGCAGCTGAAGATGTAAATGCCACTGTCTGCCAACTCCTGCCTCACAGGGAAATCTTTCGCCCCAAACTCAGGTAGCAAGTCTTGTGGGAGTGTCTGCATGCTTTCCGCTCGCGTGGCTCTAAAGAATGCAGATAGTCGTGAAGCTCCGGCCTCCAGTTCTCCGGCCGTTGCCTATCCTTCTCCAGACCCATGCTCTCCTCCAAAGGAATGACCTGGATTCTGCGAATGGCGTGAGACTTGAATGACACCGCTGAGGTGGATTACAGAATCGCAAGCAAGTCTTTTCACAGCAACTGCAACAGGATGTTGGGCATGAAGCCATGTACCAGAATAACTTGGAAATCCTGTGCTGTATGCCAATGCGCAAGGCTGCCCAACATCCAACCCTGCTTGAGATCCTGCCAACCCCTTGTATTAACCTATGCCTGAACATCATTGGTCACATTGCTTTTGCCTGCTGCATGGCTGAGTGCACGAAGCATGGAGAGGCTGTTGTGAAAAGATGAGAATGAGTCGCAGATGGGGAGCCAAATAAATGAGCGGCAAGGTAAGTTGAAGGACGACATGGACACCCATGAGCACGTGCTTAAGACCCTCCGAGGTTAGCAAGCACATGCTCAAGATTCACATGCAAGAGATGAGCATATGCAACGAGAGCAACGTCACGATTCCCAGAATTGCCCGCGGTGTTCAACGATGCGGAAGCGGTTGACAGGTTCGCAGGGGGTGCATATATGAAACAAAGTCTGGAACTACAAGGCCAAAATCATCATGCGGCGAGCCTCCAAAGCTCCAGTGTACACTCACAGTAAGCGGTGCAGTGCTGCCAGACCCTAAATAGCAGTGTATACATACACATACATACATATATGACTCATATATGTAATTACCTATGTATATATATATATATATATATATAAATATTATATAGATATATACCGACATTATGTACTGCATGAGTGCGTACATATATTTGTATATGCATATACATACATTTTATGCATGACACACACATATATATATATATACACACACACATAGGCCATTCCCACCGCCTTCCAAGGTGCAAGCGGCCAATCAAATATGCAGATATTAGGTGAGACTCCCAGGCTGACCTCTTGGAATCTCCTTTTCTCATTACGGTGAGAATTTTGGGCGAGGCCTTGCCTAAGGCAAAGTTGTTTGGGGGGTTCGGATCGGGCGGGAGTCCTTGCAGTCCATTTGCGCGGTTTCTGCTTCATGCCACTAGCAAGTGTGTTAAGGCGTCGTTCTGATGTTTGGTTTCTGATCTTGCTCCTGCACGAGCAAAGCGACTCCGCATACGCGCACGCCCTATATGGCGAAAGAAACGATACTGCACCGTGCACCTGGTGGATCATGACGGCGCGGAGCTGCGAGCCTGGCGCTGGCTTCGGTTGGGTCATAACAAAATAGGATCTATAAAGCTTGTGACGTCTGGGATTATCGTAGCGATAGAAGGTGTCGGCCGGGCTCTTGGCAAGGCCTCCTCAATTCCTAAGGCCTGTCTTCGGAACTTCATTGACCTTTCCTTGCCGTATCTTCACATTCAGCCTCGTTGAACATGATAATTGTCTGCATGCACTGGCCGCAGGTGGCAATCTGAATCTCAATACTACCTCCATTATGCAAACTCCTGTTGGTCGCAACCGAGGTCTGTACCACCATGCTAAGCCAAAGTGTACTTCCTGAGTTCAGGTCCCCTACAGTCCGGTGCTTGGTCGGCCCAAGCAACATCACGGTTTATGTGGGGCGATGGTGTTCGAAGCCGATCCCTGAGGTACTGCACAATTACCATGCCTGCCCAAGGGCACACAGGCCGCTTCCACGGCCTGCAAAAGCCATGGTTGGAGGTGCTGTCAAACTTCGAAAGTCTGGGTTGGGTTGGACGTACAACTTGGAATCCAAACGTCTGGAGCGAGCTACGACACGAATCTGCGCAGCTCAGTCACAGGGAGCTCCAAGACAGGAAACAGTTGACAACCGGAAGGCAAACCGCTATCAGAATCATCATTGACAATCCGAACACCCATCCAGTGCCATCCACAGGACTCCAAGCCGAAGCTGTGCGCGACTATTCCTCGATGCACCCAGAAGCTGCCTTTGCAAGCACGATGGCTTCCAGAATGGCCACGGCCAGCAATCGCGGGCACAACGTTCATCCTCCGGCTCTGGTGAATCCTGGCAGCGCCGACAGAGACGGAGGCACAGACGAAGAGAGGTCCGTCTGTCTGTCCGTGCATATGCATGGACATTTATATGATGATACGTTTATTTTGTACAAGTATACAATTGCCAACCGATCTTTAAACACCCACGCACACACGCACGAACGCACATACCGCCTCAACGCGTGCGTGCCCCCCCCGCCCCGCACCGTATCGGAAGGTCGCGTTCCAGTCGCCCATGTCGAGCCTCAACCTCTCCACGCCACCTCAAAATAAGTGTCGTCTTCGCACTGCCAACACCGACCTGCATGGGTAGTTTACGCTTTCGCAGCTCGGACACAGCCTGACGGGGTCGCTCAGTTTGCGCTAGCACTACCGTGAGGTGTCTATGGGTGGTTTAGGAGTCGTGATCTCAATAGTTAACTGGCTGATGGATCCTTATATGTCTTTGTGTATCTGTTTTATATGGCCCAAGAGCCGACAATCACCCGTGTCCTGGCAATATTGAATTGCATGCACCATGCTGTGCAAATTTCGGTAGCGTGAGCGTATGTGACTTTTTTTTGGCTTGCTCCCTGTTCAGTTCATTAGCTGTGTCACCAGCCTGTTTTATTCCGCCGGACAAGCACATAGAGGGGAATGCAGGAAACAACTCCTCAGCCAAACAGCCTCTTCTTGCGGCCGCCTCTTCGCACGCCCTCTACGACTAAACCCGAAAAACGAACAGTCCTAAGGCTTCGACGAAAACTCCTACCACCACCATTGACCATGGCATGCAAATTGAAGTTCCCGATGCTGAGGCTACTAATTCCAGCTTCCGCTGCTAGAAATGATGCTGTTGCAGCAAATTGCAACCAGTTGTGCAAGTCAGAATCCTGCGAAGATGAGCAGCATGACGAGCTTTCGTCGCATCCGGACTCCATCTCCTCGCCATGTCGCCGTAGAAGATGAGGCTGACAAGCATTTCTGTTGAGGGTCCGGGTTTACGCTGACAGCCTCCCGTCCTCGCTCTCCTGCTGACGGATGAGCTGCCCCGTGAGGAGGTCGCCCTGGAACGACTAATGCTCACGTGGTCAAGACTGCACATGTAGCGAGAGACTATTTGCGATATTCCCACAGAAACCACCATCTTACACGTCGAGTACACAGAGGCTGCGTGACCTGCCCATTGTCTCCGAAAAGGACAAAGTCGTACTCCTCGTAGAGTGCCTCGAGGGCAACTTGGCTCGATCTGGCGCCTTTATGCTACAGAATCTGGAAGCAGCTCGAATTTGTAGGCAGCCGCCCAGCAAGTTTCGAAACTTTCGCGAACATGTCTGCCCTGCGTCTGTCTCAGCTAGACTCAGCTTCTCTGAGGGCACAGCCTTGAACTTCCAGTAGCACTCCGCCTTCCTTTCTCCAACATCCCGCCAGCCATGAGCTTGTATGAAAAAAGCCTCTCATCTGGCTTGTGTTGGGACTGCAGGCTTTTCGGGCTTTCTCTTGCAACCTGGTGTGCCTGTTCGGGACGGGGCGGTTAGAAAGTATGGTGCTCTATGTGAAAGTGCAACACACACTGCACTCTTCCCCCTATTGGCCATGGTTTGCATCCATGGGTGGCTCTTGCATGGGATTGTAGCTTTCGCGATCGGGTCCGAGTATTTGGGTGTTCAATTTAAAAACAAATGGAGGAGTCCTCTCAAGAACTGTCACAGAGCATGGGGCGTACAGTATACAGCACTGCCCATTCTTATTTGGGTCGTCTCCTCCACCTCTCCGGCATGAGAGGTTGAGATCGTGAGACTGGGGAGGATATGTGGAATCGAATGCTGCTCCCTGCTTTTTCCCAGACGCGCGCAATATGCCGCAGTGCTGTCACTACTCGTGGAAATCCCACAACGGCGCACACCGCACCGGTTAAAGGTTAGCGGATGCAAACAAGAAAAGAGATCCACTCCGCGCCAGCCAAAATACCTTTATAATCATATGTGCGGTCAAAGCACAGCTAGCCCAGCTAACCCTCAACCCTCCGGTAAGAGTCCCCCCTGATTGAACCCGGAGCTTATAGAGCTGAATGACTTCATACGCAAGGCTTTTCTGAAGCAAAGATCTGGGCAAGCTCAATGATTAAAAGCCCCTGCAGCAATCTCATAAAGATCCTACGAAGCTTGAATCCATACCGGCCTTGGCCACGGCGAACAGGCCTAGTGCTAAAGAGCCGGGCAGCAAAGAGGGAACCTGGGCGATGAAGCTGCGGCGTTCTGCGGCGTTTCTGGACCCGAATGACTACAAGATCGCTCTAAGCTTTTAATAATTTAGTGTGCTTTAAATCGACCTGTTGGAAAACCTGCCTTGCGAGCGGTTTCTCGAAGGAACGTTGTATCATTAACTACCCGTGTCTCAGAGCACGTGCGAAGCACGGCGTGCCCAACGCGACACCTCCAACCCCCTAGCTGAAACCACTATAAGACAGTCACAAACATGCCATGACAAATGCAGCCAAAATACCCAAAGGAACACAAGCCGAAACCACACCCAAAGGCTAGCGCACACCCAGCTAAGTTCAGTCAACTCTAGGCCTCATGTTGACATTTTCTGTACACACCGTTGCGTGACTTTTGTGGGAGGGTCTAAGCTGCGTTCAGACGTTGAGCGGCTGAACGCGAGCCCATGTCGGCAAAAACGTGAGCAGATCTTGTCGAAAGACCTTGAGAAACTCAATCGGAACACCACAGTGCTTCGCGTCACTCTGCGCAATCCGGAGGCTGTACAGCAAGCACTGCTGGAGATCCCTGGGAAGCAACCCAGTGGACGAACAATACACGGATGTGTAAACTGAGCTTAACAAAAGCTGGGGTCCTGGAGAAATCAGAGAGAAGGTCATGCTGGACACGCTATCAAAAGGAACCTGACCCCGATGCAGTATGTGTGTGCTGGCACTGCACAGTTACAGTGCACTCACACCCCTGGCTTCGCGAATTGTCAGCTCCCTCCATCCGGCTCAACGACTCCGACCCCGTCTTTCTGTTAGCAGGTGCGAAACGGCTATCAGAAGACAAAAACTTCGCTGGAGGAGCTGAGCATTAATAGCGCATGCACAGAGAAAAGCACGCGCAAACCCACAAAGGAATATAAACACTGAAAAGGTGCTTCAGGCCCCCTTGATCTTATATCCCGTTGATCAACATATACATAACTTAATGTGTAGCTGCATTGGCGAGGCCGAAACAAGAAGCCTGAAAATGTCGTACAGACGGAAAAAATACAAAACAAGCAGGACGCACACCGCACGCTTCGCGTTGGATGATCTGCTCCATCTGCTTCGCTGCCAAGATAATTTCCAAGACTGCCAACCACGCTGAGGCACTAGAGGCTTCGGTCAGTATGGGTGCCAGGTCTCGCCTATTGCCATAATACATTTCCTGAGTTACATGTTTTCTGGAGCAAGGCAGGGTGCAAGCGTCTAGCTTGCGGAAGCCGTGTCGTCAAGGAATCGCATCGACAAGCATGCCGCGACATCTGCTCAGCGAAGGGATTCACAGCTACAAACTGCGCTGATTCGAAGGCTACATAAGACACAACGTCGATTCGCTAGTCTGCGCAAACTCGTCAGCATTCCGTCAGCATTCCGCCTGATAGTTCGACATCGAAACAAACTATATTCTGTATCCTGCAGGAAGACTGCAGGAAGGTCAGGATGCGGACTTCGAAGTAGCTCACATTAACTTGTGTCAGTTCGGGGTGTCGGTCGCAAAGGCAGAGCCCGGCCGACACCCAGATAGACCATGAGTCGTGACCAAGAGGGATACGTACTCTGTGCTCTCCTGGTGCATTGCTTGCGGTTCTGTCTCCTGTGGCTGAACCTAAACATTGTCGTCAGGCCTTATAAGTCATCCTCTGCGTGAGCTTCGAATCGCGGAAAGACCCGCAGGGTTCGTCCGGTATTCCCTTTGGCGAACCCTGCGGTCTTGAAGTAGAAAGACTAGAAATCTCAGAGAGGCAGCATGTTCATTCTAGGACACTCCCCTCATGGTGCAGGAGATCCGCCGAAAAAGCTCGCCTGTACATTCCTAAGCCATTCCTAACCACTACGGCAAGATATGGCCCTCAGGTCACGGAAGCTCATGGTGTTCCACCGCCCGGAAAGGATCTCGAGCACCATACGGTGAGAGCCACACTGGTTCGATACGTAAGCCATGTCCAATGCAGTTCGGCCGGTCGAGGTCTTCTTTGCAGGATCAGCACCTTCTCGAAGAAGCGCTTGTACCATGTGGGCATCTCCCCGCTGCGCCGCAACGTGGAGCGGGTACACAGATTCCGATAGCAGTCTGAAGCCCGAGCGAGAGCGCGGTGCATTGACTCCACCGAAGTTGTTCTTCTTCAAGAAGTCAAAGACCACCTCGCGTCGCTCTGAACGAATTCGCTCACGGCGGGCACGGACGGCATGCTTGCGGAATGAGTTGGTTGAATTGACTTTTCGCATCATTGGCTCCTCAGGAAGGCCTCCATCCCCGAACTCTTCCATGTCCTCGGCAAACCATGGGTCGATGTCGACGTTGGCCTCGGATTCTTCTGTCGTGACGGACAGACTAAAGTCCGTCTCATCGTCCAAGGCTGTAGAACTTGGGGGTGCGGTGGAGTGGCTCACTGCGCGTTCCTCCAGCGAACTTAGCTTGTCTGAGCCTGTCGGAAAGGTCTCATCCGGCACGCCATCGTCTTCGAGGTCCAGGTCTGGGTGTGTAGGCGACTTAAGATTGGCGAGCTTGCTCCAGGACTCATCTTCTCCATCTCCGGAAAGGAGGGCATCGGGTCGAGCTGGAGCGTTCAAGGCTCCAAGGCTCGTCTTCTCCATCGAAAGACGGGCGAGCTGTCAGGGAGCGCACGCACATGTCGGGGCAGGACCAGCACTAGTCGTCCAGTAACTCAAGTAATCCAATGTCGCTTCTGGTCTTCACTACATTGGTTCAACGCTAAGCCGCAATGATTTGTATAGCTTGTGGCCACACTTCCTGAAACCAACAGTGAGCTCTTGAACCCTGCACCGTTGTCAACAGAGGCAGAGGGCATCAGACCCTTCAATGATGCGAGTTCGGCCCACCGAGATTTTGAAGAACGCAAGAAACACTTCTGAATTGAGGCCTACACAGTGTGCAAAGCTCATTCGGATGCTGGGCTTGGTCGGGGTTTGAGATACTGTATCGGCCGGGGCCCGCTCGTCCTACTAGTAAGTATTGAAAACTACTCTCAGCAAGCTGGTTGGTCCAGTTTGAATGCAAGTGCTGCAATGGCGTGAACATGTGTGAACGACAAATAGAATCGTGGGATGTCGTGCTGCGTGTGTTGGTAGTCCGATTGTGCCGTTCAGTATGCTACTGCAGATCATGTGCGAGCAAGCCCTAAGGGACATTGGGAAGCACGGCTTTACTTGCAAGCACACAGCCACCCGATCGAGCACCCGGCGCAGTGCAGCTGCCCTGGCAGTGTCGAACTTAAATTTCCAGGGCATGGCTCCGGGAGCACGACGATTGCACGCAGTCATTTCCGACCTGCCTGTCGAATAGAGCTCCTTGAACTTGTGGAAGCTCTGGCAGGTGGCATGACGCAGCCAGGAACTTCTCAGCATGCAGATGAGAAGCACAAGTAGTAGCTCTGACAATCACAATGCCGACAGCCGTGACAAATGCGTGACAACATGCCTGGTGTGGAATCGAGCCTTCTATCTCACATGCTGTAACTAATGCTGTCCGGCAATGTCGATGCCCGCCCACCTTGTTCTCAGCCAGGTCCTGCAGTTCTGTATTCTACTGTTCCCAATCCTATGATTTAGCTTCAATGCCTGCGGTTTCGGGCATTGGGGTGAACGGCAGTCACGCATTTTGCAGTCAAGGGGCTCTAGGACTTTATGGTGGAATGTGCAAAATTAAGGTGGTAGTGTGGTGGCGGTGGTGGCGGCGACGGCGGCGGTGGCGGTGGTGGCGGTCGTCGTCTGTAATAGCCGCAGCACCAGCAGCCGTCTCTGCTTTTGCAGCGGCTGGTGATGATGTCGCAATTAATGGTGATGATGCTGTGGGTCGCGGCATGTGGTCGTGATGGTTGGTACAGCCACTACGACCTCTACTATGTGCCATTGTGTCTTTTCGGTTGTCACCGTTGCTTCAATTGCTTCGCACGCTCTCACATGTCCTTGTAAAGATGCGGCCTCGCCGAAAGGAACACCAAGTTGCACGAGGCAACATCTGGTGACCAGTCCCTGTAGCAGGATGGCTTGTGAAACCGTGGCGGAGTCAAAACAGATACGCCTTTTATGCTCCTTGCAATCCTGCATCCGGCACCTTGACACAGACCTGTAAATCAACTTGGCTGCCACCAAGCTTGGGGCAATGTGGGCGTGGAAGTTAAAGCTCAAGCCTCAAGCTTCGGAAACATATCGGGGGAGCTGCAACTATAATGTCACTATTGCGGTCGCTGGAATGATAGGTCCGGGTAGGTGCTTCTATCGTCTTGGAGCTCTTAGAGGCGTCGTTGGATGCTGCTTCTTCAACTCAACACTTGAGCAGCGCAAGTTGAAAGATCCCAGCTGCAGAAAACAACGCTGAAACATGTAGACTTTGTCCGACGTCTTCTTGCTGTTTATCAACTCTAGCAACTCTAGTAGCCCTAGTGTTGAAAACTATTGCTCGTGAAACACATAGAAGCAGTTGTCGCTACATCTACGACAACTCGATCTATGTAAGACAAAGTTGAGCAGTGGTCTAGGAGCAGGAGTAGCGGAACATATCGGTAGTCAGTAGCACCATATTCAAGTTGAATCTTCCTGTACAGCTCCCGATGTACATGACTCAACCATTCCGCCTCTTTTCAAAAGACATCCACACTCCCTCAGATCTTGTCTTTCCCACGATTGGCCTGTCCAGGGCTTTGAACAAAGCCGCGCAGCCAGGGTAGACCATGTGCTGAGGTATCCTGGGATGTTGCTAGGCTGCCTCTAGTCAGCCTTTTTCATTGCATCCTCTCTCCTTCGTCCAGAATCTTCTACAGCAGGATTTATATCACTCTTGCTCTCTTTAAATGACGAATGCAACGCCGTGCCAAGGTGCTTTGTCTTGTCCCCACTATATCTACGAACTCACGAGCCGCATTATTGTTCACGACGGTGTTTCCATGATCTGCTGACGCGCTGTCGAAGACAAAAAGACAGGATGCTGCTTGTGTTGATGCAGGTTGCGAGTGTGACTGTGTACGCAATCAGCACTGGTAGTTACTAGCCGCACTAGCCCTGCTGATGCCAGTGCCTTGGACAGATATTGCTGGTCTTACCATCGTTGTGATAGTGGCGGCGGCGGCGGCAGCCGACTTTCGCGGTCGTCGTTGGGTGTCGTTGCTGCTGCTGCTGCTGCTGCTGCTGCTGCTGCTGCTGCTGTAGTCTCTGCTATTACACGTCGTGGCTGCTGTAGCTTTGGCGGTAGTGGAAGATGCTTTGTGGACGTCGTGATCGCTCGAGCCGCTCATCAGTATAATAAGAAACAGCTGGCTTGTTTCAACGCCGATTTGCTCCTGTACTGTAACTGTCTACTAAATGTTCTTAATGACCAAATCTTGACATCCTGCACGAGAATTCCACCATGATCCCCGCCCGGGACTGTAGATCACAGGTGTAGAGGTCTAAGCAGAAAGCTACTTTGTTCGGCGGGAGTATGAGTATCATGAGGAGCCATTCAAGTACCGATTGAACTGCAGCTCCGGCACCGATCGTCACAACCTGTGCCCGGGTGGCTGCGTGAAAAGTCTTAGCTTGAGGCCTGACTACTGCAAGGTACCTGCCGGGAACTTGCCGCCACTGCAAAGCAGGGTGTCATCGATGTCGCTAAGAACCTTCGGTGGCGAAGTACCATAGAAGACTGACAACCTTTGCCGTTCATGTGCTCTCTCTCTCTCTCTCTCACGCTTCCCATCTCCGCTCACCTGACTTCTTTCTTTCGTTATGCTTGGGTCCTGCTTGCACGCAGCCAGGCTCCCTCCCAGGCATGAGGAGCTGGTCAGGCTCCCCGGGCCACAGCAGAGGTGAACCGAGAAAAATGTTCAATCCGAAAGCCTTCAGGGTAATTATACGACAACTCTCTTTGGACATCCATTGCATTTCGCGGGCATGCAACGGTCCGAACATCAGGACCAACAAAAGTCATGCCTTTGTGCAGTAGCACACCCCCTCATGCAATACATGCAATCACTATATCTCCTGCTCGCTTGCTCATAGGAGGTGTAGATGTAGGGCTAGCCCAATGTTTTGGCCAAGCATCCTGCGCCGTTCCCCTACCTGCAACCTGCTAAGCACAGCCCCTAGTTGCAGGAACGTCATGCGGGGCCCGTGTGGCGTGAGTTGCTGTTCACACCCCGCAAACAGCTGCAGCCTTGAGGAGTCTCCCAGTCTGGTTTGACGCGTGAACCCATGTCTCTGCAGCTAGGGGTCTGGGGAGTCCGTATCTCTCTCTGTCTCCCTCAACTAACGAAGCTTCAAACTTGCTGTCTGTTGCGACCTGCTTTCCGCCTTCAGCCTGTCACCGCCTTCCCGAGCTGAAATCATACGGCCAGGGCGGGCCTTGATGCCAACCGCTCTGCCGGCTTGCCTCCTCTGCGAAAACACGTCTACGTGTGCTGTCATCTGGCAATCTACGGGAGCGGCCCCGTCCTGGCGATGCACGACTGCGTGTGGATATGGCTTAGAACCTCCAGGGAGGACGGGAGAACCGAAAAAGCAGGAACACACGGGCAGTCAGGAGGACAATCTGACAAAGCATAAGCGGGCCCATAATCGGGAACAGCCCCTTTTGCGCGGAGAACCTGATCGCGGGCGCTTGAATCTTTGATGTCGACGTACACCAATTTGTACAAACTGTTGTAGTCTCCAGTGCCTGGGAGGTGAACCGCTACAGCAACGGTTGTCGGCAACGAGGGAAGTGTGCGGCTGAGCAAGCCAAGGTTAGAAAAGCAAAGAGAGTCCTGGTGTGGAGGTCAGAGGTCCGGTGAAATTTTCATGCTTGGAGCCAAGGGTCTGTCCAAGAAGCCCTTCAACTCCGTCAGTTCTGCAGCCTTGCAGCTCTGGATCAGATCCTTGGTGCACATCTTTCCGCCCAGCATGCGTTGAGCTTCTCAAATCACAAGAGCCCAAAAGGCTCGCATTTGTCACTCGTGAAAGGCGAACTGCCAAATCCTGCTTGGAGCTGCCAACATACACACCATGCTTGGCATTGTTCCCTTCCTGGTGCTGCGCTTCGCGGCTAACAAGGGCACTTTTCGGGTGGACCCAGGCCCAATTCAAGCCGTGCATCCAGCACGTAGTCCAAGCGCCTTCTGGAGATCCCGTACTTCTGCATCCCCTGGGGGACAGGCAGCTATTCTGGCGGTACTGGCGCAGCTCAAGAGAGTGCTTTTCCAACTTTTGGTCTCATGTGCGAGGCATAGATCCTGGTCTTGCTGGACCCTGAACTCCAAACTGACTTCCTGTGCCAGCAAGGGGCATTCAGCAAGACAGCCTTTGCCAGTGCATTCAGCATTCCTCCAGGATGGCCCAAGGAAGACCCTACTACGGCCCTACAATAAACGTGGATATTCAGGTTAGGACCAGGGTTTCACAGCTTATAGCACCATGTCTTCCTCGCTGCTAGGACCACTGTGTCGGAGGCGGCACCAGAACGTAGTGGAACGCACGACATATACGCATTTTGTGGGAGAGAATGACATCTTTAGATGCCCTTCTTGAGCTGCTTTCTGGTGCTTCGTCTGAAACCCAGAATTCATTCCTGAAGGAAAAGGTCTGCTGTGCTTTTGATCCGAAGCAGAAGTCGTCTCCAAGCTACTTGCAGTGCCAGTCCTTTTGGCCTACTTGCTTCAGCTAGACCGACACGCAAACAGGCGAGGAGGAGCTATCATGCCCCAGCATACCACTGAGCCCGCTGCTGCTTGCCTCTCCCTCCCGATAGCCGATTTGGCGCACCGGTTCGTGGCTGTCTTGCGTGATTGGGCACGATGCGTGTAAGTTCTTTGAACGGCTTGGATGGGCGACTTCATCCAACAACAGCCGGAAAGAGCCGGTTGTAGTGCGCTAGAAGCAGTGCATGGATTGGAGTCTGGGGGCTGCAGAAGCTAATGAGAAAAACAGGACCTTCATCTAGACCCTAAGTAGTTGCATATGAGCGTAACAAAGCCCAAAAAGGGATGGCCAGGCCCCTAACTCCAAGAGTTCCACCGAAAGGGAACAACGGCGTAACCGTGCTTTGAAAGCCTTGGTCCAAGGCTTTCTCGACCAGCAGCTCGTGTACTTCGTAGTCAGTGGCCTGCAAAAGAAAGCAGGTGTAATCCGAAAAACTAGGATTGAAGGGTTCACGGGGTTTTGGTTTAAGCCAGAATTCACAGCGGATGTCTCCGAACAGCGGACTAAGCGGCATCTGCATAACACTCTGTCGAGCCTCTTTTATTCAAACTCTGTTGTTGCTTCCAACCTCGCAAAGCCCTTTAGCCGGTGCATTGCCGGCATGGCGTGGTTCATACAACATACGAAAATTTTACGTCGCGCCGCAACCATGCAACAACTTTCAATCTCCACACCCCGGGCTGGAGACTCAGCAAGAAGTCCCCGGCCGCTGTGTATATGTCTTTAACGAGCATTGGGCACCACACTGCCTGAAGCAGGCTGGCCATGTTCACTCTCCGGTAGACCTCGCAAACGAGGGCGGCGTCCCCTGGCCGGGTGCACTGGCAGCGAAGAACGGCTTTGGGAAAGCAATGGATGGAGTTTTAGTTCGTCGGAGTTGCCTTGCACAACTATAACTATAACTTATCACAAAGCTACGGCGATGAGCTTGGGAAGAGTCAGAACTTGCTAGACTCGACATGCCCAAGGTGCCATGTTCGAGCAAGTTGGACAGCAACTCCTGAACCTGGCATCGAAGGCAGGCTGGGAGCAAGCCAAAGAAGCCTTTTCTTGTGCAGAACGCAAGGGTGAAATTTGGTTTTCCCACCTTCGCCATGTTTGCAACCCTTCTGCAGAGCCGTGGTATCTCCTTGGCAAGTTCGCAGCACACCAACTAGAACTAGATCTGTCACGCCGCTCCGCCTCAATGTATGCAACCAAGGCAGGCAGATGGCCCCGGGGCTCTCAGGGTAAAATGCAATGTCAGGGTTTCGACTCGCACACTCGCTGACGCAGGCACGGCCTCTGGGGTCCATTGCTACCGTTACTGCTGTGATTGTACCAAATACATCGTACACCAGACAGCTGGGCTCAAGCAAAACAGGTAGAAGGCCAAAGTGCATAGGCAATAAAAGAGTAACATGAGGCTGCTGTTCGACATATTTGTTGGCATCATCCCGTGACAGTATCTCACAACAAGAACGGAGCTAAGCTTACATATACCACGTGAACCAAAAGGGATCGGAGAAGGAATACTATAATGGGGCGAATGTGTACTATTACTGTATCTACTGTTACTGCTGCCGCGTGAGCAGTTCCGAGAGCAAGCATACCGACAAGGACTTTCCCTTGGGTTTCAGCTGTCTGTTTCAAACGAAAAGTCATAGAGTTCTCCACGAGGTCACATAACTGGTGTATCATCATGCAGTTGTTGAGTCATCCATGTTGATGATGAGGATGGCCGTACGAGTACCGCTTTCCAGAGACATGTTGTCGGACGGGCTCGGCAAACTTTCGCAGCAAGAGCAGCAATTCAGGGTAAAATATTCGTGCCACCAGACCAGCGAATGCATGGTCTAGCCAAACTGTTGCGCCGCCAGCTTGAGAATAGGTGGCGAAGTCGAAGAAGTCGCCGCGACTCATCATGAGTGCATTGTCCAGGGCCAGTTCTACCATGAGCCATGGCTCTTCGCGAAAGAAAACGCTGCTGAATCTTTCCAGGATCTGCAAGCACGACCTGCGCTCAAGCGCACTCTCGGAGGCCGAGAGCACTAGCTCCAACGGCCGCTCCACATCAGCTTTGACCCAAAGATGCTGCACCAAAGCCTTCGAATCCACAAAGTTTCGCAAGATGCTTCGCCCACTCATGATTTCAACAGCTGGCAGCCATCCGAGAACCTCCATGATCACGGACCGTGGGAGTGCAGCGAGGCTGCCCACGCTGCTTCGGGGTCTGGTCGCTGATATGCCTTCTTCTCCCTGGCAAACGTCGTCGGGCTGTGCCTCGAGAATCGGGTGCGAAGACACGCCACAGTCCTCGGTAGGGGTGTCCTCGACCGTTGCCTTTGGGTGTCTCATCGCACGGCATGTGGTGCGCCACCGGAGTATCTGTGGCACAGAAAGGCACTCCAGCAACTTCGGCATCACGAGCGCTAAGGGGCTCCATAGACCCTTGTCGAGGATGAACGAGTGGTCGAAAGAAGCCTGCGATACGGAAAGCCGCAACGGCTCCGCAGAAACTGGAGGTGCGCCCTCCGGTGCCACAGCTTCCTCGTCATCCAAGTCCACGCGGTAGCTGTGACGCTGCTGCCTTTCCAGCAAACTTGACGAAGGATTGGGAGCTGCTTCGACTTGAGTTTCGGAGTTGGAAGCATCTTGGGGTTCCTCCGCCTTGTCCTTCACGAAGGCGGCCTCGGAGCTTCCGCAGCCTGAAGGCTTGGCCAACTTCTCAGGAGTTTCATCTTCGTCCTGCGCTTTGTGGCGCCGCGGAGGCGTGCAGGGGAAGTCCTTGGCAACCCCAGCATGGATGAGGTGCGTGAGATCGCGCAAGAGGTCTGCACGAAAGCTTTGCCATTCCTGAAGCAGTTCCTCCTTTACGGCTTGCGATGCGGCCTTTATGAAACCCTCCGTCACGGCCAGGTTCATGCTGCTATTGGACTCTGTCGGAGGTTGCCACATGGCGTGGTTGCAGTTGGGGTTTTGAACTGCAACTGCCACACGAAGTTCCACAGTCCCCGAATCACGAAATCCGTGGATATGCGATGTGCTCTCGCTTCATATGTCACAAGCCCTATAACCAACGTCATCCAATCCGAGCCAAAGGCCGGCATGAACCTCTCATGTCTTTGCCAAGGGTTTAGTGGTACTAGCTCTGACAGGGCGGCATTCTCTTCTGCTGCCTGGGTGCTAGCAATGCCCAACATAGGCCCACCAAAGGCGCGCCGATCTTCACAGCTTCGTGGCTCTTTGGCTCAGTTATTTGGGAAGCCTCGGGGCCTTAGCGGAGGCTTTCTCGATGAAAATCTGAAGCTGAAAGGCGGCGACTCAACAAAATTGCGCACTGCAGGAAGGAAGATCCTAGCAGCACTTTTCCTCCGTGAGGGGAAGGAGGGGAGGATTCTGCTTGGTGTGACTCAGCGACTCTCCCTGAGCTCTTGCAACGCCGCAGCCATGATCGAAAGGCACGTGGTCACCAATCAAGTACAAGCTAGAAGTCATGCACGACTGCGGAGTCCAGATTCCTACATCTGGCACCTTGCACCTTAGACCTCTCGGCATCTCTCAACCCCCGAAAACGCCACAAGTGCCAAACCTAACTTAAACGGAGGCCTTGGCAGGAAAGTTCATCACCTGTGCCACGCCGAAGTAAACGAGCGTCTCCCTCAGCGAGCATACGGTCGGACCGACCAGTGTAGTATGAGTCCATCGCAAACTAGGACTCCAACGCGAAATGTTTCGACGAGGCTATGCAAGGTTTGTCCAGCTCACAGCATGTTCAGAGGCATCCATCCGTTCGGACTTAAAGTTTTGCGCGTGTACTCGAGGGGGACATACACCAACTTTTGCTCGTAAGTGGCCTCGACAATGGCATGTCAGGTGGTTGCTGCAAGCTAGTTCGCACATTTGTCTTAGGACTCTTAAAGTGTGAAGTGTTGAAGTATGTCACAATCACCGTCATCATACTGCCCCTTACTACGAATCTCCTGGTATCTATTAACATCACTGTAACATCACTGCTGTCAGACTAATGATGCTGCTCGCACTTTCCGGCCCAGGCATGGAGGCATGCCAAGAGCACCTTCGCTAACTTCATTAGCCGCGGGACTGCTGCACGAAGAGCAGTGGGAAAACCATCATTGGAAAGACCTGGGGCACGCGGCAGGAAGCGAAGGCGTTCCCGGCTTGATTTCACTCTCATCTGCCCCCACACTAATGCAAACTCTCGTGGGTTGAACCTGTTGACTCGTTCCATTGACCCAGCAAGAGGGGACCCACTGACATGGTATTGATCACACACTTGTGCAGGGCTGAAATCTCGAAGCTACAAATAAAATGCACGAGGCCTTTGGAGGAACAGAGCTGGCATCAAGACCATGATTAAACCGTGCCTTCATGCCCTAAACCCTGGCCTCCACACAAAGCCCAAAGCCTTGAACCCTACAACCCTCAACACCAAGCCCGCAACCCGTGCCATGGAGCTGCTACGACCATTGCGAAGCCTTCTACGTAATTATGTTCGAGTACCCCGATCCAACCAAAGGAACTGTGGGGCTGAGAATTCCCCGGTCGCGACGGACGACCAAGCCTCTGAGGTGCCTCGGTGCAGTGGGGGTGTCATAGCTTTATGGCTGGGCTACATTGAAAAATAGCATGGAAAGTAACCTAAAGGTGCACACCTTGGAGACCGCAAACCTGAGCAAGCCGACACCCTGAGCCCTCGCGGGCTGCCTTAGCAATGCACAAGCAATCGATCATGCCCTCGTCATCTCCAATGTCAGCCAACTACGTACCGGTTCAAAGACCTTATGCCCAAGCCCGTGCGAGTCTCAGTCTGTGATTGTCATTTCCGCTATGTCCCGAGGAATCGCGCGTGGATTGGAAGCAGGTATACTTCAGCCGACGAAGAACGCTTAGACTCCTTCCAGACGCTTTTATTCGTAACATCTCTGAAACTGCTGCTTTGCGATGAACTGGAAGCCATCCCTGCACTATGGCTTTGTGCCAAGCTGACCTCCGGCTTCAACAAAACTGCGCCCTCATCACAGAAGCCCTGACTCTCCTAGACAACCCGATTACATCCCCACAAACCCATGGCCAAACATAAACAAGCAAGAAAGGGGGGACAGAGTAAGCCACTGGCCCATCGAGCTCCACGGCGATGCGGTGTGCCATTTGACTGAGTAAACGGTTTCGCGATGCTTGGGCTTGGAACCAACCGTTGAGATGTGTACTCGGCATGACACATGCATGAAGAAGGAATCGAACTTCATGCCTTTCAGATCACATTGACTGCCGGGCGATTCGGAAGACATAAATTTTGTTGTTGTTGACAAAACAAACTCCCGTTCCATCACGTGAAGCGCTCCTCACAACGTGCTGGATTCTAGCCTCCTCACAGGCCCGAAGCAGCTCTTCCCGCCTGGTGTGATCCTCGGCTACATTCTTCGCGAAGGGGCGCTGGTCCCCGGGGGCGAAAAACCTCGCCGCATTCTGCGCTTCCGACTCTTCGTGGCACAAACAAACAATTTTTTGCAAATAGGGTACTGAAACTCGAAACAGGTTTTTTTGTCGCCGGTCCTAAGCATACTAAACCCTTTAACCACACAAAAACACCGGAGATCCCTGGTACCGCACAATCAACCAGTCAACGCCCAAACGACGGACACCCATAACAAACCCTGAACTGAACTGAAGAGCATCCCCTCATGGAAGAGCAACACTTATGCCGGGGCACGAAGTCAGCGGCCTAAGCGAAACCACGCCAGCATAGATTCGCCTTGCTGTGATTCACCGTCCTATGCTTGAGTCCTACGACCACTTTAGGCTGGTTTCGATGCAGCCAGCCGCTCTTGCAAGCTAACGAGCAGTAGTCGTCGTCATCGTCGTAGCAGTATAGTCGTAATATGTCGTAATTGTCGTAGTGGTCGTATTCGCGATAATAGCAGCAGTAGTAGCAGCAGCAGTTTTCGGTAGGAGTAGCAGTAGCAGCAGCACAAGTAGCAGCAGGAGCAGCAGCTGCGTAGTCTCCCAAACAGTGTTACAGAGGAGTTGCTCTGCTGCTGTTTTTTGTTGCCTCCTGCATGGTGTTGCTGTATATAGATAGTTACGGCCGCTTGGGAAGTATCCCACTTCCAAGCACCAATTGTTATACTCCTCATCCAAGCAGCATGGCAACCATGACCTCAGGTCACGTAGGATGAAACGAGCAAACCTTCAGGAGCGAGGCTGAGGAAGGAAGACTTACCCGAGTGAATCAAACAGCATCAGCATTGGCCCCGACTTGGACTTGAACTTGGTGATTTCGGGATGCTGCACAGCATGCAATACATATAAATTATAGATGCAAGGCAGTGTGCAGAGAGTTGCAGAGCATCCTGCTTGTTGCTGTCAGCTTCCAGCACTGGATGACTCTAAGATGCACTTATGAGGCTATGCGCCCGCAAAGCAAGACCCTCTAGCAAGAGGTCTTTGTGTCCTAGAGCCGCCAAAGTCAGCAGTCAGACACTTCGGATTAGTCTGGGACGACTTCAGCATCATCATGGCAGTCTGAGTTTAGACACATTCCGCGCTTCAGGCCGAGCAAAACAGAAGCACCAACATCACCATCATTATCAGCACACCACCACGACCACCACCACCGTCGGAAGCAGCAACAACAACTTCATCACCACCAGCAGCGCCGCAGTTCGTCTGACCATTCACAGGATGTGTGCGATGATACCGCTATACTGTAACACTTGCCGTTTGTAGCCAAGACTCGACCAGGAGCCGATTCAAATCATAAGCCACCGCAGCTCTTCCCTCCCCTTCCTTAGATGCTTGAGTGTCGATCCATCCGGTGAGATTTCGGTCGAGCGACACCGGGCAAGGAGTCCATCCCCTGCAGCCCAAGCCTGAGCGCAGTCTCCTACCTCACCTTACGCCTCCCTGCGCTGCCCCATGCGACCCTCACTTACCAGTTTCCCTCTTCTGCTTGTGCGGCCCAGGCTTCGTGGTGGCTGCGGAGGACCAGGGCCCTTAGCTGCGCAAATTTTGCTAGGATGGTTTGGAGGTTGCTGACCCGCAAGCAACGCTTGGCCATGCCGCATCATGCTCGTGCATCCGGACATGGGCAAAATCCCTGCGACCGCAGACTTAAATTGAGAACCTGCGCGCGAAACCCGAAAGACCTCAACGAAGCCTCTTCGAAGGATCCAAGTTGCACTGTCATGACTGACACGCACATGAAGAGGTAGTACATCTCCTTGGCAGGAGGCCCACGTTTTTGCAAGGCTGAAGTGCTGACACTTCGCTGTCTTTCTCACAAACGGCACCAACACCGGACATCGACCTGATCCTGAATCTCTTAGATCAGGAACCGTACACATTTTGCAAGGCTCGCGCCGTGGGGTGCGAGCCAGGTCTTTCCAAAGCCAAGGAGCTCCCTTTCTTGTTGCATGGCATGGCGCGCCTTCCCACCTTGGTCTCCATCGCAAACAACGTATACAGTGCGCCTAGGAACGCTCCGGATTCAAAAGCCTTCAACGGAAGCCTCGGATTCTAAACGCTACTTCCACTGGCAATTGCAAACGCGGAGATGCTGCTACGTCTGCGTGACGAACCTCAGATCTACAAGTAAGCAAGTGGGACACCATCAGATCGAACTCTGCTTAGAAGCTTTTGTGTTCCTGTGCGACCGAATAGAGCCGAATGATTTATGACAAAGAAATCGAAGGATGAGCAATCAAACAATAGCGTGTGTACATGTTTATGTCCATACAGACGTGTATACATATACTTTGTATATATATATATAGTATATACACATAAGTTCATGCAGGTTTAGATAATATATACACTCGCGCATTTACTCAAATTCGGAGGCACGCAAAGTAGAGAACGCCAGCCAAGGAGGCCTCAGAGTGAAGCTAGAGCTTGGAGTGGTGCTGGCGCGACTGGGTTCAATCTTTTTGCCTCCTACTTCACACGGACGGCCCGCATGGCAGGGCTGGAGAGGTCGGTACAAGTACCTATCACTTTCGGGTAAGGACATCCACTACAAGATCAACCTCACGTTGATTGGGGGCACGCTATCCCTATCTGGGTTCTTTTCTTAGGCCTTGTCCTTCGCCCCTGGCCACCCTCATCTTGAGGCCTTCTTGGTTTCTTCGGGCTCCCTGAGTCTATTCGATACGTCCGGGGCTTCAGCACAAGGAGCAGGCAGGGCCCAGGCTATGCTGAGGGTACACTACGGCTTCGCTTCCTCTCCTTTGGCGCTGACTCAATGCTACCTGCTAATACCTGCTACCCTCTGCAACAACACGCTATGTGGCATAAGCTAGCTACGTCTGCATGCAACATGCCGTCCTATTTGCAAGGGAAGAGGTCTTGAGCCCCAGAACTTCGCAAGTGAATCTGCGGAGCCCCGCCAGCCCACTCTGTCGAAGCTTCAAGCCCAAATGAGCCACTTCGCTGTTCCTTGCAAAGGGCTTCGCAGGAGAACCTCGAAGTGGAAAGCCGCTCCCATCGGCCCTATCATACTTGCCGTCCCAAAAGCAACGAGAAAAGTCCTTGTTTGCCAGGTTCGGTAGCTTGGAATCAGCATCGGGGTGC